AGATTATCCAAGGTGCTTCATGACCCATAATTGGGTCCCAAGCCCAACTTTGGGAACCAAAGTGCAGTGGTTCCCAAACTTTTCAGCTTTTGAACTACAAAATAACAGTAGCAGAGACCTGTGCCCCCAACTATTTTTGGATGATAAACATTTGCATCAGGTCAACTAAACATGGGCATAGTAACAATATTTTTATACTACATAATCTATATTTAATAAACTAACCTCACTCATTTGTAACAACTAAGGCAAAAATGTAATTAATTCTGAAAATCTTTTAAGGACCCCACCTTGATGTTTCAGGACCCCACTTTGGGTCCCGACCCCAACTTTGGGAAACACTGCATTAGATAAATGAATATTAAAACAAAACAACAAAAAAAAAATACAGCACCGAGATATGTGAATCAACATATGTCAACATTCGGACAAAAGTACCTGATGTGTATTTGTATTTGTATTTTTGTTTGTGTTTGTTTACCTAGACCTATGTACTGCAGCCAGACTGTTTTGGCTTCAACTTTGATGCTACATACAACAATAGACATAAATATACACTAATACCCTGCATAAAATAAAGCACCAAAAGTTCCAATACATTCAGCTTCTGGTAAGGTATGTGTTTAACTCTAGTCTTTTGGTCCTTTAAACCAAGTTTTATGCTATAAAAATTAGTTTTATTGGTATTTTATGTTGTAACAGCAAAATGTTCTCATAATGCAATGTTGCAGGATGTCAGAATGACTGCAGCTGAAAAACAGGAAGATATGAACACAGTTTTAACTATGCATACATAACGAGATATGGATGTGGCTGAACCACAATGCATTGTAAATTACTGACTTTAATCATCTGCATGTGCAACCATAAAAAGTAATGGATGGTACAAACACAGATATGTGTACCTATGGGTACAACAATGACACAGCTGTTTTACACTGTTTGTTAGATGCAAGGCAGTTTGAAAAAGGAAATTATGTGACATTGCTCCATTCCATATCCTGTATTTTCTTTTAATTGAAGACCCTGAAAAGGAAGAAGCGTGTACAGAAAATGGATGGATGGATGGATGAACACTTTAAATTACGAATAAACGTAAGAATGAAAAAAAATCCACAGTGCCAAACAAACAAACAAACAAACAAACAAACAAACAAACAAACAAACAAACAAACAAACAAACAAACAAACAAACAAACAAACAAACAAACAAACAAAC